TCCCTGTTATACATCGCTAATTAAATTTCTCTTTAGTCACACTCATATGTATTTTCACTGCGTTCAATGGCCTCAAATGATAGATTTATTACATAAATATACAAATATACAATAATACAATACATGATACTACAGTTTCTAACAGCTACAAATTCATGGTTTCATTTTTGTATCATTTAATAATTATAGGGTTTCGTCAGATCTAGCATTTTGTTTTTCGTCAGGAAATTTGGGATTTAGCAGGATTTCACTTATTGCTAGACGAAATCTGAAGACGTAGCGACGACTAGTTTTGATTTTATTTAGCTTATAGAAATATGATTTTTGACTTTTGACCATGGATTCGACTTTCGCAGTTTATTTTTTTTTTGTAACAAACTGTTATACAAAGCTTCTGCTATTAAGTGACATAAAAACAACAAATGAAACACCTAATAAAGGAGCTTTTTTCAGCCTTAACGAGATAAATAAGAAATAAATATCTATTATATAGTTTTGCTATTATTTGTTTTATTATGATAAATGAAGCATATAAAATATCAAATGATATAAATAAAATACAACTTATTTGAAATTCCACAAATTTACAAAATCCAGGTCTAACCCGATTTGATTTTAGCAACACTAATCGAAATATTGTGCCATCTCGATAAACACCTTTCTTGATTCTCTTTGTGTATATCTGAACTCCACCTTTGGCATCAGAAATATCAAGTATCAAAAGAATATCTAAATCTAAAATCGAATGACGGCCCAAAACTCGAGGTGTATTACGCTTTTTCTTCTAAAATCAAAGTCTTGACAGCCAAAGTTGAGTTCGTTCCATAATATGGGCACAATAGTTCTACACCATTAAAATAGGGTCTTGTGATCATTATGATATTTAAAGATTTCTAATAAACAATCCGCTGGTAAACGCATTTTGAATACTAATAACGAATATTTGATCATACAAGCGTTAGGCTACACAAACTTAATTAATTGGTTCTCATAACTTGGCCGGGTCTAGAGGTTGGAACCGGTTTTAAATATTTGAGTTTATCCCATCAAAATTTGAGTTTATCACATGAATTATTATTAATAATTGATGTGATAAACTCGAATTTTGGTATGATAAACTCGAATTTTGATGTGATAAACTCGAATATTTAAAACCGGTTCCAACCTCTAGCCGGGTCAAATTCAACAAAATTGAAAAAAATTTTTGCTATATTTATTTAAGCGGGTGAACTTTTTTAAATATCGGTAATAAAATTTTAGATGTTTTTTACATATAAAATTTTTTTGAAAATAAAATTAAAAGCCGGGTTACCAAGTCATTTTTAAAATTTATGTTATGAGAACCAAAAATTAATTTTATATGGCCTTATTGACGTGTTATTGAAATTTATGATCCGTAGTTCACGTGAGCATAGCAGAAGTTCATTTTGATTGGTTGTTAAGATACCCTGGAAAAAATGTCGATTATACCTCGGATAGAGTACTGGCTAATCCCAGACAAAAATTTTATAACTTGCGAACTTTTAAAAAATTAGCAATACACTCTAAAGACATATTATAATTTTACAATATACTAATTCAGTTTTGTATTAACAACTTTAATTTGGATTTTGCAAGGATTTTATTGTTTTTTTCGCAATAAATACATATAAATGTCTACTACGTAAATAACACATACACGACTATTCCTAACACTACCATTACTATAACTTATTGTATATATACGTCATATTCACAAACTATAGCATGTCCCAAATCTGTGACAGGTTATGTTGATCACTGAATTGAAAGAGCATTAAGTACAGATTTAATTTACTTTATATTTGATATTTAGATATACTCATATACCTAAATTTCGTGGTGAAAACTTTTGTTTAGAAGTCAAACTACAGTTATCATAGTAAAATCTTGAGTTATTTATGATTTTTATGTGAAAACAGAAAAATCGTAAATAGCTCAAGATTTTACTATAATAACCATAGTTTGACTTCTAAACAAAAGTTTTCATCACAAAATTATATATATATGAGTATATCTAAATATTAAATATAAAGTAGTGCCAAACTATACTTGTGTCTAAATAAATTATAATAAAAAATATTAAAATAATAGTTCAAAATAATACTTTCACTTGTAAAAAATACAAACAAACTAGTTGAAGCAGAATCTTACAATTTCACTTACCTAGTTGCTTAGATCACCGAACCATCTTCCTGACCTTTCAAAATATTTACTTCTTATCTAGTTTCTTAAACTTCCATATCTTATGTATCTCTCATTAAAAAACTGTAGGTTTAAAGGTGAAAAATAGGTTGCTAAAGTTTGTTGTTTCATCACATATAAAGCTACAAATATTTAGAAGGTCAAGGTAGTACATCACTCCTTACGTTATATAAAATTTATATATAATTATAGTAAACGTGTTATATATGTCATGTCAAACATTATAGTACCTGTTTATTGATATTCTAATGTCTGCAGCTCTAGTCACATATTACAAACAATAAATTTAATATGGTGTGATGATTTTTACTAATAGAAGTATTTTAAAATTTACAATAAGACCTGTAGGTCATTAGCACAGTGGTTAGTGCTCTCAGATTTCAAGCACAAGGTCGTGAGTTTGAAACCCATGGGGGAATTGTTCTCTGCCAGAACTATGATTGGTAATAAGTTGCAGACATAACCACAAAAAGGTCATATGACATCTAGAAAAGAAAAGGAATCCAACATAAAGAAAGCCATTAACATGAGAAACCCTGCTTTAAACCACTGATTGTAGTATCTCAAAAAAGGAAAAGATCTAGGGTTCTTTGCAGGAGACGCTTGCCTATTGAACAGGCATCCAGTAACCCTGAGTGGTGTGGCCATAAAAGAAAATATCAGTGAATATGAAGGTATACGAAAGGTGGCTTAAGTGCTAAATTCTGAAAACACAGAGATGAAGAGGGTTTGTTGTTAGGCAGGTAATGAATAAAGGATAACACAGGATCTAAGTACAAAATTGGAAGAACTACATGACCGAAAACATAAGACTAAAACAGGAAATTAATAAGGCTGTGTTAGTAAGAAACTGCAGACTACTGCAGAGTCAGGGTCCTCACTGTGGGGTTAGGAATCCAGAATACCACAAAAGTGATAAATTTGATAACACATGGCACTGGAGGGTTAGAGAACACTCCCGTAGGCAGTGATGGGTTTGGGACAGTTGGGATCTACATTGGGACATTTAGACATTTTGAAACAATTTTATAAATTAAAATAACTCAAAATTTTATTAAAATAATCTACTTTAATTTTTTTAAAAATAGATTCAGTATCTAAAAAAATATATAATTATATATTTTTTAAATTAATTTATTAATTATTAAAACTTGGAACTTAGTTGAGACATAGCAAAAAAGCTTGGGACACTGTCCGAACCCATCACTGCCCGCAGATGATGTATGTACGTACGTAGCATTAAAGTGTGTAACTTAAATTTCCTGTATAAGACATTAAATAAAGACTAATAATAGCACAGAAAAGTTTACAATTGACTGTATAAATAAATGATCATCGCCAATCATATATATTCAAATTTTAGCCAATTAAAACGAACTTCTGCTATGCTGTTCATATGTACTAAAGCTAACATGTAATCACTATTATACTATAAATAAAAATTCGGTAAATTGCGTTTTAATATTAGATTACAATTGAATATTTTTAATCATTTTGGATCTAAAGGAGGAAAAGCATTAGCGGTTGCAATTTGCAAGAACACTGCGCTGACTTCTTTAAGTCTTTCATGTAATCAACTGGCTTTGAACGGATCTTAGTTTGGAAAACAGAATTTGAAGATTTGATAGTGATCTTGAACCATAGGGAGAAACGCATTGGTAAATGCTCTTCACTTTAAGAAATCAAACTATATTAGATGCGCTTATCGAAAATGGCACTAAATCTTAGTTCAAAAATATGTTGGTCCTCTTGGTGGAAAAGCATTAGCAATTTGCTAATCTTAATACTTTAAAACAACTCGTTAATGAAGGTTTTAATCACCTATATAGGTGATAAATGTTTTAATTAAAGGTAATGCAACTCTTCTTTTTTTGTCAATCCACGCATTAATCTATTTAAAATTACGAAATTAATTTAACTAATATAATAAATTCATATATTTAGTGTAAGACAATAATTTTCTTGAAAAGATGATAAAGAAAAGCGTTGAATGTTTTGAGCAAGAATCTCTCAGAGCATAGAACTTTATAAAGTGATTCTCGAAAACAGCTAGCATAGTCTTGAAAATCAAGAAAATGCCTCACCCTGGGATCTTTTCTTATAATGACGGTGGATCGGGAAAGAATGAAGAAGGTACTTCGCAAAAGAATATTACGTTGACTTCTTTAACGTGGAAGAATCTTTTAATAAAATATGGGGTTCCTCATTAATGGGTTAAGTATGTCGAAAATTAAATTTTAATTAACGAAGTGTTTTTAATCGATTAATCGAGCTTGTCATTGAGATAAGTAAGATAGTTTGTTACGTGAAAGAAAAAATTTTAAATAGTTAAAAATAATATGTACAGCGAGTTTACTATTTTAGGGTGTTCTCAAACATTACAATTAATTAATTATTAATTAAATGATGGTTAGTAAGCGCGTTTAATTGTCTTGAAAATTTGTTAAAAATGCGAAAGTATAAAGACGCAAATTTATAGCTTGCTATATGGACTCGAGATATGAGATAACTCTGATACGGTACAATATATTCTATTATTCTGTTACATATCTGCGCGGTTGGTTTTTTTTTACATGTTTTAAATCGAAAATAATGTTACATAAAAATAATAAATCTAAACTGCTTTTTATTACGTAAAAACAAATATTTAGAGTATTATTTCGATATACAATAAATTTACACATCAATGATGCAATTTTATTGTAAATCGCATGGGAATTGCAATCACATATTATTAAATTGGTAATTCATTTGAAAATTAAAATTTATGATTCAAATTATGATGAATTCAAATCATTAGAGTCATTATTCCCACCATTCTCGGAAATTCTGAATATTTTAAACGGGTGGTTCTTCCATAGCTCGCGAGTACTAGGACTCTTTCCTGTATGACAAATAAAATCAGCAAGGAATAAAGTACAATAAAATATATTACATTATAATAATGCATACTATTTTCTTTGGTGCTTCTTATTTCATCTGATTGCAAAGGAACATAAACCATCATCATTTCTTTTGTTTCATCATCGTAAAGTACATAAATGAAATTAGAATCTGATTCTTATCTGCATCATAATATTAACCCATTTATAAATGTAGTGCATAAAAAAAATTTTAATTTAAAAATACAAACTCTTTACAATCATATATGATCTAAGATTTGATAATCTTTCTGAAGCTTCTGAAGATCGAACATATA